GTCTTCAATGGACTGGGAAAGTTTCAAGTATCTGCGCACTCTAGATTGGAAGTTGGGATTTTTTGAAACAAACAGTGTTTTTGGACGAAAACGCTGACTTTTATGCGAACATTTCCCAGTGGGCAAAAATGAAAAATGTGTGTCGAATTTTGGGTATTTTGAGTGTCAACGGCGGGCTACGGGCGGTGAGCCACTAACTTAAGAGAAACGATTGCCGCATCTGCTATAAAATCTGGAAATTTCTTTACCGAGGTCCCACACAAGCCAGTCGTCGGCCCTCTTTGATTTTCACCGCTTGTGCGACGATTTTCTGGCGCTTTCCCACCGAGACCAAAAGGGCGGTGGACTGCAGGCCCGGACTGGGAAGCGTGGGCACTCCAAGGCCTCCATATTGGCCCTTGATAATCTTCACAACGGCTGGAAAGTGATGCTTGGAGACGAACTCGCGCAAGTAGCTGCCCTCGTCTGCCCATCGAGCAGCCGCCACTGTAATCTGAGCATCGGTGGCCGCCATTCTAACATTACTTTATCGGCATTTCTGCAACAAAAAACAATAATTGTACGAATGCAGATTACTCAGATGCAGAAAAATCGCCGATGTTACATGGAGATAAGGAGGCCCTCGGAAAAAATACACCAGTGCTTTCAACCAGAGTGGTTTGTTGCGCCCATTCGGCCAATGGGATGGCCAGAATATTCCTCCAACCCATCAAGGATTGATGCAAAATCGCGAGAAGTCGACGAAGCGCAAAAAGCCGCCGTTTGCGTCGAGCAACGCCGAAGATGGACGGCCTTGAGCTGGTCATACTGCTGGTCAGCAATGGGCAAGGTTCGTCCGATCGGTGAAAATGTGGCCTTGACTTCGCCATAATAAGCGCACTTTCTAAGTCACTGCCTGCACACACATATCCCATAACGACCAGAATGGGCGGCTTATTTGGCCTTCCATCCGCCCATTTAAGCCTTTTTCTATGATCAGGCTGCATCGGTGCCAAAAGGGGGATGGATTTTCCCTAAGTACCATAAAGCCAATGGCAATGCGTCCGTTCATCTTTAGATAATAGAAATTAGCGGTTTACCAAGGCAAAACAAGAAAGAGTTGCCGAACATTGGTTGAAATGCCGAATTTCCCACAATCTGGAATGTGTTGAAAGCAAGTGCAGCTACCAAAAACCGGTAAAGGATGTCTTGAGCTCGATTTTTTCAAGATATTTAAAGAACGCAGATGCATTTTTGATAGATAATAATTTGTAAGATCAGTCACAGCAAGAAAAGAGGTAGAAAGTAGCAGAAGAACTTGCAATAAACTGCTCAACAAAATCAACGTCTCACAGACAAAGATTGGAAGTTGGGATTTTTTGAAGCAAACAGTGTTTTTGGACGAAAACGCTCATTTTTATGTTCATTTCACCAAGTCGGCCAAAATCAGGGATTAGGGGGATTTGAGTCAAATTTTCAGCATTTTGAGCGTCACTCATCTTCTATAGACTGGGAAGGTTTCAAAGGTCTGGGGGCTCTAGATTGAAAGTTGGGATTTTTTTAAACAAACAGTGTTTTTGGACGAAAACGCTCATTTTTATGCTCACTTCACCAAGTCGGCCAAAATCAGGGACTAAGGCGATTTGAGTGAAATTTTCAGCATTTTGTGCGTCAATCATCTTCTATAGACTGGAAAAGTTTCAAGTGTCTGCGCACTCTAGATTGAAAGTTGGGATTTTTTGAAACAAACAGTGTTTTTGGACGAAAACGCTCATTTTTATGCTCACTTCACCAAGTCGGCCAAAATCAGGGATTAAGGCGATTTGAGTCAAACTTCCAGCATTTTGATCGTCAATCATCTTCTATAGACTGGGAAGGTTTCAAGGGTCTGCAAGCTCTAGATTGAAAGTTGGGATTTTTTGAAACAAACAGTGTTTTTGGACAAAAACGCTCATTTTTATGCTCACTTTACCAAGTCGGCCAAAATCAGAGACTAAAACGATTTGAGTGAAATTTTCAGCGTTTTGAGCGTCACTCATCTTCTAGAGACTGGGAAGGTTTCAAGGGTCTGCGATCTCTAGATTGAAAGTTGTGATTTTTTTAAACAAACAGTGTTTTTGGACGAAAACGCTCATTTTTATGCCCACTTCACCAAGTTGGCCAAAATCAGGGATTAAGGCGATTTGAGTCAAATTTCCAGCATTTTGTGCGTCAATCATCTTCTATAGACTGGGAAAGTTTCAAGTGTCTGCGCACTCTAGATTGGAAGTTGGGATTTTTTGAAACAAACAGTGTTTKTRGACGAAAACGCTCATTTTTATGCTCACTTCACCAAGTCGGCCAAAWTCAGGGATTGAGRCGATTTGAATCAAATTTTCAGCATTTTGAGCGTCACTCATCTTCTATAGACTGGGAAGGTTTCAAAGGTTTGCGTGCTCTAGATAGGAAGTTGCGAATTTTTGAAGCAAACAGTGCTTTTGGACGAAAACGCTCATTTTTACGCTCACTTCACCAAGTCGGCCAAAATCAGAGATTAAGGCGATTTGAGTCAAATTTTCAGCATTTTGAGCGTCAATCATTTGCACGGTTTATAATGCATTGGCATTATAAAGTTTCGGAATAGCTAATTTCAGGCTGAACCCAGCTGATGAGAGCTAATAGGCTCGAAACCGGTCCTGAGGGTGCCTGAGTTTGGCGCATTTCGAAATCTGCACTTAATTATTTAATAGCTCATGACGGCTCTGAGAGATTCAGTGCAATTATTTTTCAGGTCGTGCGTAGTTTTGCAGCAAATCGGTGCTCCAGATAAAGTTTCTACAGTTTCTATAAAAAGTTCAGCGGGTTTTCACATGGATGAAAACTGTTTTTCGTCTTTCAACCCCACAAGCATTAAGATTAGATAAGACTTCAAATCTTAGTAAAACGTTGTTGAATTTTTTCCACCTTTACAATGATTATTTCAACCCACTTTGATTCTGAAGCGCGATTTCGAGTGGCTTTTATACGCTGAACCAGCTGCTTACTGCTGCATCAGAATCTGATCCTGGGAGTCTTAAGCGAAACTGAACGAGTGCTGAATTCGACTAGCATATATGTGAAAGAAACTCAACATAAAAAGACTGCTGTGGAACTTGCCACCGTTGAGCGTTCTTCCGGCGTTCATCGAGCTCATTGTAGAGTTTTCCAGGGGAGACTTTATCCCCGCCTTTTTCCCCATCTACACAGTGATGTAGTTTTACTGGCACGAACTTGTATGCAATTGTGCACTATAAATTGCCTGACGATGAGCTGATTGGGCGCTGCAGCAAAAAGTCGATTTTTTCCGGGCCCGGCGATTTCCAATTCGATCGTGATCTAGATCTCTTCGGATCTAACGGGCTGCACTACTTTCGGCCACAGAATGTTTGTTGTTAGGTGAGACCCGTGACAATTAAAATAGTGAAACATTATGCTTTTTAACGAGCGGCTATTTTTATTGCATAACGGTTGTGCCGAAGATGCGAGCGGATCCATCCGCCAAGCGAGGCGTTTTTCTTGAAAAATTGATCGATTCAGTGCCCCGTCCGATAATGGGACTTTTGCAGCAGCCCATCAGCGTTTTTACGTGCCGATTTGAACTTTTGACACTCTTTCTAACCCGGATGTTGCAACTTTTCTACGCCACTAATTGCACGATGATGAAGAATATCACTTTTCATCGACCGGAATCCATCGGAATTACAACATCGATTGCACGACCAGAATCAATTGTTGGCTTTTCAATTTCGATCCGACTTTCACGACACAAGTTTAATAATAAATTTAATTATTTATGGGGGCTTTCGGAGCGATTTAGGCCGGGCTTTTCGATTATAGTCAGTGCATTCGAAACGATGATGATTTGCCAACACTCGAAACGAAGATTGGTCTCTATTACGCCACTGGTCGCCTTAAGGGGCACGGCACTGGTCTAATCAAAGAAGTAGGTTATTGATTTGTCTTCAAAAGGCTGTTTTTTTTCTAACGGCCTGGGGTTAACTGCAATCAGTTTAATGATGCAATTAGGGTTGCAGCCTTTTACGGGCTCCAACATTAAATCGCTTGGATAAAACTGTCTTTTGTTGTCTCAAATATTGGTATTTCAATCGTTCCATTTTCTTTAAGATGGGGTTTCCACGCAAAAGTTTCTAAGAAACTTGCTTGGTTCCTAACAGGAAAAGAGTGCAAAAGGAGTGCGTTTTGCACCACAACGGTTCGGGTAAAACCGAAGAAAGTGGCAGATCTTGAAGATGAACGCAAAAACTGGGTATGGAAAAAGGAAGAGAAACGAAGAGGCAGAAACAAAAATCGGTTCGGGTCTAACAATCTAACCTGATAAGACACTTTTTAAGAGCTTCAAGTGAAACTTTCAATTGAATGCGAAATTCGATAAAGTCCGCTTGATCGAATTCAATTTCTGCCTGTTTTAATTCACATTTAATGTGTGGATTAGTGTTAACGATTCGGGTGGTTCATTTGTTAATTGGTAGCACCATTACGTGAATTTGACGTCATTATTTGGTCACTGTTCGTCACCACCTGAAACTTCTAGCAAGTTTTTCCACGAGTTCGATGCTTTCCTCGCGTCCGTAAGCTGAATGATGTCAAATTTAAAACATTTTGAAAATTTTTTAATTTTTTCGAACAATCGACCCCCACCCCTTGAAAAATTTCGACGAAAAATCAAAATTTCACATTCGTGTTTTTTGAGCTCAATCGATTCCTTTCGACGTAAGAATGTCACAAATGGGCATTTATAAAGTGTTTGGATCAATAATAAGGAAGAAATCGTCGATTGAAGATCGTGAACGATCAAAAATCGCTTAAAATGTGCCGAAAATGTCAATTATTTCGGATCTAAAACTTCTAGCATGTTTTCCAATGAGTTTCATGCATTCCTCGCGTCTGTGAGGGGAAAATGACGTAAATTTGAAGACGTTTAGAGAAAATTTTAATTTTTTCGAAAAATCGACCCCCACCCTTGGAAAAATTTCGGCCAAAAATCAAAATTTCACTTGC